TGGTCTCGATCTAATGACCTCGTGATCCACCCGCCTCGGCCTCCCAAAGTGCTGGGATTACAGGCTTGAGCCACCACGCCCGGCGGGAAACACTCTTTTATTGAGCATATCTATGACTTAGCCCAATCATCCCACTAGGAGAGCAGTGGCGTATCCATTACACAGTTGAGCGCCCTGGGGCTCTGAGGGGCCATGTACCTTGTACAGAGTTATTTATCCAGAAGAAGGCAGAGCCAGAAGCTGAGAAGTGCCTCATGTTTTACACCGAACCAGGCATCTTCGGCTGGAGACTTTTCCCTGCAGTCTTGGGAACGGTGTGTGTGACGTTGTGCTGCAGCGGGTGCTGGACTGTGCTTGCCATACTGTGGTCACATAGGGGCAGGCAGAGGAGGTATTTCGGGTGGGGGCGCTGCTGAGGGTGTGCAGAGAGGCTCACAGTGGTGAGCAGAGAGGTCCTGGGACAGGAGGGGCTTAGCTGGGAAAGACAGAGGCAGCACGCTCCCCGCCCCCTGTGCCTTCCCAGGCCCCTCTCACCCCTCCTGCCCTCTTCCCCCGCCCTATCGTGGTGGCAGCTGTGCCTCCCTTATCACATGGCCCATAGCTCTGTTTTTCCCCTTTTATCAGTTACTCCCTAGAACAACCCAATTGTGCTGGTCCGGGTTATCTCCCGCTCTTCACAGTAGGGCCAGAGTGGGCTCAGGCACCAAAGGACACAGAATGGTTATGGCGATGAATACGATTCCTTCTCTGTGTCAGCAAGGACGTTGTGTCCCATGGACACTGATGTAGTGATAATCTCCATGTATGAAGCCATGGTTTCTACAGGGCACATAGCACGTGTTTTGCCATTCAAGCCTCAAAACAGAGCTATGAGATGCACACCATTATGGTGATCATCTGTTTTACTGTTTTCTTTCTTTCTTGTTTTTTTGAGACTGAGTCTTGCTGTGTGGCCCAGGCTGGAGTGCAGTGGTGCGATCTCGGCTCACTGCAACCTCCGCCTCCGAGGTTCAAGCAATTCTCGTGCCTCAGCCTCCCGAGTAGCTGTGATTACAGGTGCATGCCACCATATCTGGCTAATTTTTGTATTTTTAGTAGAGACGGGGTTTCACCATGTTGGCCAGGCTGGTCTCAAACTCCTGACCCCAAGTGATCTGCCTGCCTCACCTTCCCAAAGTGCTGGGAATTCAGGCGTGAACCACCACGCCCAGCTTGTTTTACTGTTGATGTAACTGGAGCTCCCAGAGGGAAATCAAGTGTCCCCAGGGAACACAGGCAGCATTTGACAGCTCTGCCTGACTCCAAAGCCACTGTGCAACATTACCTGGAACTGAGAGATGCAATTTCTCCCCTCTTGGCCACTAGTGACTGTGACCATGAGCAAACTATGTCTCCTTTTTGGGCCTTTAGTATATTCATTCATCGGGAAACTGATCAGCCGGGACACTTCAGAGTGAAAGGGGCGCTGTATCACTTACTCTGGGACAACAGGTGTACACGAGGCTGTGGTTGGGCAAACCAGGTCTAGTGGCTCCCAGACTCATCAGTTAGATGGTGGGAGCTGGCGCTGAGGGAGCTGCTCGTGCGTCATGCATCCAGGGTGGCTCTCCAGTTTTCAATGGACTTTTGCCTGAACAGTTTGCATTTCTGCTCATGGTGCCGGAGCTTGCTGGTCTGATGTCATGTCACAAGCCTGCCTTCAGCCACTTAGAAGAGCCCTGTTATCCCTGACGGCTGCTAGAGCAGACCCAACCTGTACTTTTTTCACTTGATGGGCTCCTGGAATGATTGGCAGCACATTCTCTAGCTGTAGAGGCTGCCCTGTCACCCACGCTGACATCCTGGCCAGGTTCCTGGAGATGGCTTGGCATCTTGGGCCTCTTCCTCCTCGGGGTGCCTGGAGCCCCTGACGGTCTACCCAGCATGGCCATGAGAGAAGTGCTGTGACTCGGTCATCTTCAGGGGTTCTCAGTCAACAGCCTGAGGTTGCTTAAGAGCTGGTGTGTATGAATACCTAGAATGTGCCCAGTTCACCTTCTCATCTGGCGAGGGGGATGCGGTTTCCCCTTTTACATATGAACAAACCGGGGTTCAGTGAGACCCAGAAAGCTGCCACGGTTGTTGATGGTGAGAGCAGAGAAGCTAGTGTTTGCAGTCCCATGGTCAGCCTCGACACCCCTTACTCCCGTCCAGCCGGCGCTTCTCAAAGCGTGCTGATGAGTGATGTGAGATGATGTTAGGTTACAGATAAGATTTAAAAAATTGTTTTGTATTTAACTCAACTTTGAAAAAGACAGCAATTGGTACATGAGACCTCTGATTTTGCAGATAATACTGGTCTTTAAGAAAAGGTCAACTTTTTGAAAATACTGTTAACGGGACGTGGATCTGGTCCTCCTGAAGGGGACTAAATTGGGGTGCAGGTCATTGTTCCTGTTTGTGGTGCTCCATCTGTGTGGCTCTGGCCATGCCACTGGAGGCCGTGTCTGAGCCTGCGACTTGAGTAGTAGCTCTGCGTCCTCTGTCATGTCTGCTGTAGCTTCAGTTCATCATGATTCTCCCCAAATCCTGAAGATTCATGGTAAAGCCACTGCATGACTTGGTTGAAGCTAGACTGAAAACAGTAAGGATCCCAGAATGATGGCGCTTGATAATCCTATAATTTGGCTGAAATTGCCTGCAGTTACGTCTCAGTGCTGCCTGTTACCTTCATTGATCACCCAAAGGTTTTCAGTCAACTCCTGCGTTAATTATTCTCTGGGATTGAATGGTGAAATAGTAACTATTTCCACTAGGCAATCAATTGGTGACTTATTCATTGATTCTTTCCATTCATTTCTTCTCAATAAACTGAAAATAAGGTCCGGGTGAGGCGGCTCAAGCCTGTAATCCCAGCATTTTGGGAGGCTGAGGCGGGCAGATCACCTGAGATCAGGAGTTCAAGACCAGCCTGGCCAACATAGTGAAACCTTGTCTCACTAAAAATACAAAAATTAGCTGGGCATGATGGCATGTGCCTGTAATCCCAGCTACTCAGGAGGCTGAAGCAGGAGAATCATTTGAACCTGGGAGGCAGAGGTTGCAGTGAGCCGAGATTGTACCAGTGCACTCCAGCCTGGGTGACAGAGTGAGACTCCATCTCCAAAATAAATACACAAATAAATAAATTGAAGATAATATTACCTACCCCATGAGTTTATTGTGAGAATTAAATAAGAGAACATATTAAAAGGCTTAATTCAGTGCCAGGCATATAATAGGTACTCCGGGAATAT